ACATTACAGTATATTGGGTCAGTTTGACTGTTTGTGTCGATCATTATCCAGACTGTGTAATAGTCTTACTATAAGTATTTTTCTGTGACAAATCTTAAACGATATTAAGTTGCATAATAATCATAATAATGGAAACTTATTGGGATTGTAAAGAAGATTATAATGGAGTGCATACATAGCTATATATATTTAGATATGTCTGTTGGAGTGTATACATAGCTATATATATTTAGGTATGTCTGTTGGAGTGTATACATAGCTATATATATTTAGATATGTCTGTTGGAGTGTATACATAGCTCTATATATATTTAGGTATGTCTGTTGGAGTGTATACATAGCTATATATATTTAGATATGTCTGTTGGAGTGTATACATAGCTATATATATTTAGATATGTCTGTTGGAGTGTATACATAGCTATATATATTTAGATATGTCTGTTGGAGTGTATACATAGCTATATATATTTAGATATGTCTGTTGGAGTGTATACATAGCTATATATATTTAGCTATGTCTGTTTGAGTGTATACATAGCTATATATATTTAGATATGTATGTTGGAGTGTATACATAGCTATATATATTTAGGTATGTCTGTTGGTGTGTATACATAGCTATATATATTTAGATATGTCTGTTGGAGTGCATACATAGCGATATATATTTAGGTATGTCTGTTGGAGTGTATACATAGCTATATATATTTAGATATGTCTGTTGGAGTGTATACATAGCTATATATATTTAGGTATGTCTGTTGGAGTGTATACATAGCTATATATATTTAGATATGTCTGTTGGTGTGTATACATAGCTATATATATTTAGATATGTCTGTTGGAGTGTATACATAGCTATATATATTTAGATATGTCTGTTGGAGTGTATACATAGCTATATATATTTAGGTATGTCTGTTGGAGTGTATACATAGCTATATATATTTAGATATGTCTGTTGGTGTGTATACATAGCTATATATATTTAGATATGTCTGTTGGAGTGTATACATAGCTATATATATTTAGGTATGTCTGTTGGAGTGTATACATAGCTATATATATTTAGATATGTCTGTTGGTGTGTATACATAGCTATATATATTTAGATATGTCTGTTGGAGTGTATACATAGCTATATATATTTAGCTATGTCTGTTTGAGTGTATACATCTATACTATTAAATGAGAAGACCTCATTTTGTGTGTCGCTTCTCTTCCTTCCACAACAAATTAATCATCATGTCTCTGTGTCCTATAAGTACCATGCATAGTCGCATTTGTCATCCTCGCTTATTATTATTTAATTTGGGTTATTTTGGGAGGAAAACAAACATAAAGGCATCCGATATTGTTTCCGTCATTGGACAGACTTTTAAGTCATATACAAGACTTAATTCCGTTTAGGACTGTTTTAAAATTACACATAATTTTCATAAGTACTTGGGGACAGGACAATTATTTTCGTGTTTTTCTGTATACTATGATCATACATATACTATAAATAAAGTGAATTTGCTATTTACTATCAATTCAAATATAATATATCAGTGACCGCCGTGGATAGTAAACTTGGAATTGATAGTAAATAGCAAATGCACTTTATTTATAGTATATGTATGTTCATAGTATACAGAAAAACAGAAAACAAAAAATAACGGACTTCGGAAAAAAAGGGGAGGGCTTAAAAAAATTGTCCTGTCACCAAGTACCTATGACTTTTGATACCTTTCCTGAAATTCTCCAGTCATAAAATCTTTTACAAAAATTCATCCTACAACAGTTTACAATTACTTTCAAGAACGCTCTAAATGACCGCAATTTCGCGGGTGTGTTCTAGTAGCTATTTATATTTAGATATGTCTGTTTGAGTGTATACATAGCTATATATATTTAGATATGTCTGTTGGAGTGTATACCTATCTATATATATTTAGATATGTCTGTTGGAGTGTATGATACATAGCTATATATATTTAGATATGTCTGTTGGAGTGTATACATAGCTATATATATTTAGATATGTCTGTTGGAGTGTATACATAGCTATATATATTCAGATACTTCTGATCATAGTGGGAGATGATCAATGTTCATTGAATAGTGGGTTTTGTCATAAGGCATCCATGGCTACAGTTTTCAATAACATTTAGGAATAAGTAAATTTTTTTTATTGTCAACAATCTTTTTGAAAGATTCATAATTTGGAAATATCCGGGTCTTTTTTTCAAGACAGGAGCAGACAAACTTTAAAAAACATTTAGGATCTAACTTGGAGATACAGGGGGCCTCAGTGGCCAAGTGGTCTAAGAAGATTATCTATAGTTATAAATCACAATCCTGTCAACACTAAGGTTGTGAGATTGAACCCTACTCTTGGCAGGCGTGTTCAACTAAATTGACCGGGATTGCCAGTTTACTGGACAAGGTCTTTTGTTCTCTCCTGGGACTTGTGGCTTCCTCCAACAATAAAAACTGGCAAGCACAACAATAGTGCTAATAATGGCGTTAAACACCAACAATCAATCAATCAATCTGAGATACATTGTCTGATACTAATGTCTGATACTAAAGTGTAGATACAGTGTCTAATACTAAAGTGCAGATACATTGTCTGATACTTAAGTGTAGATACAATGTCTGATACTAAAGTGTAGATACAATGTCTGATACTAAAGTGTAGATACAGTGTCTGATACTAAAGTGTAGATACAGTGTCTGATACTAAAGTGTAGATACAGTGTCTGATACTAAAGTGTAGATACAGTGTCTGATACTAAAGTGTAGATACAGTGTCTGATACTAAAGTGTAGATACAGTGTCTGATACTAAAGTGTAGATACAGTGTCTGATACTAAAGTGTAGATACAGTGTCTGATACTAAAGTATAGATACAGTGTCTGATACTAAAGTGTAGATACAATGTCTGATACTAAAATGTAGATACAGTGTCTGATAATACTAAAGTGTAGATACAATGTCTGATACTAAAGTGTAGATACAATATTGGTTTAATTTTACTTGTTCTTTTCTTATTTAGTATTATACCATTGTAATAGAGTTACATGTTCATTTATGGACCTTTTTTTGTCCCCAAATTGAGATAAATTGGGTTAGGGTTGAGATGTCTTAAAACTACAATCATTTGCCTGTCCAAATTCAGTGACCAAGTCAGGGACAGTCTACTTATAATATCTTGGTGTTAATGTTGACCTGTAGATGTCTTTGTGTCATTTGGGGGTTGCTGTCTCATTAACATATACCCTACATCTCCTTTGATTCTGTGATGGAGATTTTAAGTTTTAAGCTAGGATGTTGTAATAAACCAATAACAAACCTACTAGTATGTAACTTTATAATCTAGATATTTTTAAACTGCAAGACGTTTGACGCACACATTCATATTTTATGGGTTAATTTACAATTTTTTTTTACAGTGACCATAAGAGACCCATGAAAAATAGAATTAAGCCTTACTGTTTAGGGCATCAGCGCGCCATGTCCTTAATTTGGAACTCTTGATTTCATTAAGGAAATTGAAAGTCCAATCATCTCCCATAGGGGCCTCATTAAAGATATCTGTAATTATGGAGTTTTCATAACAGAAATTTGTGCACTTCCTGGTAAAGGAAATTCCATTTTATCTTTCCAAATAAGACTATCAACAAGAATCATTTAATCTTCAGGATGTTTATGATATTATTCTGTAATAAGCTCAGCCATGATATCATTCTGATTGGTATTTTACTAAAGAGAGGAGAAAGATACCAAATGGATATTCAAACTCATAAGTTGTAAACAACAATGCCCTGGCAAAAAGTTCTTTTCATCTTTGGCAGCCTACTTCTGTATGAATCTTGGTATCTTACAAAAAGAGAATTATAAGAAAAGAAACAAAGGGGGCATTAAAATTCTGAAGTGGAATAAAAATGGGCAACATCATGACCAAGAACAAAAAGACAAATCACTCAAAACTGACATTTGTGCTGCATAAACCCCACTAAAAACAAGATGAACTCTGGTTCCAAAAGTGTAAGCAGTTCCTGCACCACAAGTGGCACCAGCCAGTGACGCTGAGTAATGACTGGATTATTGGGGGGATACCAATTTTTGGTGGATTTCATTAGTAATGGTGAACAATAAATCAAAATTTTCAATTTATTACAAATATTTATAAACACTTGTATTCAGACTTTGTCAAAACATGGAAATCCTTATCCATGAAAAAACAATTATTCCTCAATCCATGAAAAAACAATTATTCCTCAATCCATGAAAAAACAATTATTCCTCAATCCATGAAAAAACAATTATTCCTCAATCCATGAAAAAAACAATTATTCCTCAATCCATGAAAATTGGTTCTGATGAAAAGTACTGTAAATTCAGAAATTATTGCGTGCATTTATTATTGCGATTTTGTCATTTTAGACTAAAATGCGATTTTAATTTTTGCGATATTGAGAAAAATCCTGTTTAATTCATACAAAAAATTTCAAAATGCGAGTTTAAATTATTGCGATTATAACCCTGTCGCATTTTTCGCAATAATAAAAACATCGCAAAAATTTCTGAATTTACAGTAGATGGATCCACAGTACCTTACAAGTATTACAATCTCTAGTATTTATGTATATATATGTAGAAAATACTTCTTTGTAGCATAAAGGTCTGTAAATATAGGTACTGTGGATTCATTTATTTTTGTGGGTACCAATTTTCATGGATTGAGGAAAACTTGCATTTTCGTGGATATTTGAATTCGTGGTTTTGTCTATCTCTGCACACAAAGCCCATAGAAATTTAGTTATTCGTTGAACATTTGAATTCGTGGTTCACCTGTACCCACGAAAACCACGAAAATTGGTATCCAACGAATAATAATGAATCCACAGTATATAAAAAGTCCTGTTTGTTCCATTGTTCCAATGTACCTTATAGATCTGTATGTATATATAATTCATTTTATTCAGTCAACTATTTCTCTTTTCCAGATGAATACCATGGAAGCCATAGAGTGAACAGTCCAGATAATGATGAGATTAAAGGGACAACAGGACAAGAGGAAGGATAGAAGACTATTATATATTAAAAGGGAGGCTACTCTTACTTTGGGGACACAAGATCGAAGGTTGAAAACATGATGTTTCATTGTAATTTGCAATTTTGAAATTAAAGGTAATAACTTAGAGGGTTCTAAATTTTCCTGCTGATGCCTGCTACAGTTATTTTATTAGTTTATTTTTTAACATGTGTTTTTATGTCTGTGTCACATAAAAAGTCTTTTAATAAGGAGATACTCATGTAACTCGATCAAAACTACAGAATACACAGATTCACAAATTGACAGGACTTTAAATGTTTAATCTCAGTATCAATCTGGTTATATATCCAGTCACAAGGTAATGACAAGGCTTATATTTTCTATGATATATTGGCTAATTTCAACTCATAGATAGCTTATTCCCAGCAAGAAACTTATCAAATGATTTTTATTCCCTATCAGAATAATTTGCAGACACTATAAAATACATTTTTGTGATACCACAGTTAAGAAGTATGAAACAATATCCCATATTTATGGTCCAGGTGTATTTACAATGGAAGTTTTTACTGAAAGATCTTGTGTCTCCAGTAAACCTTGAGTGCCTTTCCCACAAGGTGTGGAGAAAGGGCGGTATTGATCACCATGAATTGGTCATTGAGAGAGAGATTGTTTTTATGCTGTATTCATTGTTGAATTATTGATCAAAGTTTGAGACTTCTAGTTAAAACATATAGTTAAATTTTCTTTTGTTGTTTATTAAGAATTTATAAGATAATGTTTCATGCAAAAACTGAGTTTCACATTGTAGATACATTTATTGTTTTGTTTGAATACTTTGTAAACATGTTATTGTTTTTGAGTGGAAATAAATCTTTATAAAGATTATTATTGATCATGTAAATTTACCGGTACCACAAGAAAACTAGCTTCATATTTTCAGTGAATTGATTTTTTTAATCCTTTCATGAAATTATACAGAAGGCCAAAAGTTAAATTTCTAATTTTTTTAAACATACGTTTTACTTACTACAGAATGTCTATCTTAATATGATATGCAATTAACCTCTGCTACAGGATACATATACTGGTACAACTGTGAGACATTAAAACTAATGTCAAATTAAGTACAGTATTTACAAGGAAGATATTTACTGCATTTAAAATACACAAAATTGTCAGATTTACAGCACAAACCACTCTCTAGTACATGTTTGGCATACTAGTCTGTTTCAAATAGCATTTAATAAAACTTGGAATCTTACTGAACCACTGTAACATGCTTCTTTATACTTCACTGATAATTATTGAAAATTTTAATGAACTATTCTCTTTTGAGAATACTCTGATAAAAATCTTGTATTTGGATACAGTGTTTTACTGCAGACGTTGAGTGTCTATCACTATAGTAGCTTAATGAAGGCATGCTGTATAACACCACCATACTGTAATATTTGAAGATAGTTTTTCTGATCCATTGTTACTGTATTACCTTTTTATATATATTGGATTGACTAATCTGTTGCAACGTTCATCTCACAAATTATTTTTTGTAAACTGCAAGGCCGTACCTTGACCTATAATGGTTTACTTTTATAAATTGTTACTTGGATGGAGAGTTGTCTCATTGGCACTCATACCACATCTTCCTATATCTATACACATGTCAAAAGACAAATTTTATTTGGTTTCTCCGTGTTATTGTTATGCTATTTTATTTTGACAATGCTTGAAAAAGTACAAATCACAAAGCTGACAAAAAAGCTATTTGAGGGTTGGTTTAATTGTTTGTATATGGTGTAAGAGAGATAATTCATTTTACATTTGTTTGATAGGGAAGTGAGAATGATGTTGCCATGTGGGTCCCATAAACTTACAAAATGTTTATATTTTTACATGTCATGTAAATGAATCATATTTTGTGATGTAGAGTAGTTATGCAACATGTTTCCATGGATATGAGTGTTATTACATTGGAACAGTCTAAATTATTACAAGATTGCTGTCTATAATATGTTTATAAAAAGACAGAGAATATCTTATTATTTCATCTGAATGTCTGAATTGAGAAATATATTTTCATTGCCATGTTTTTAGTTCATTATTCAGTGGTATGATATGATGACAATTTCCACAATCAGTCGATGATTTTGTACAGTATTTTGGATGCCAGCACATTGTAATAAAGGCTTTCTACCAAAATTCTGTATAATCAAAATTCTATATTTTGATAAAATAAAAATTGTTAATAGATGAGTTTTTATTTTGTATCACTCCCTCAAAAAAAAAATTACAGGTACGTTATATATATATCATTAATTTTGCCCTACATTTCATTTGTAAAAATTGTTAACAGACAAGTTTTTATTTTGTATCACCTCCCAACAAATGACATCAAGTTACAAAAAAAAACCAAAAACAAACATACCATTAAAAGAAAAACAATTATTGCTGACATCACATTTTTAATATGCTGACAATCTGCAGGAAGAGAGAGATTACCATGCTGAGACACATTATTCATACTGATAACCAACGATTCTATGCCCTTACTCCTAAATGCTGCAATATTGAACGAGAAGCGGCAATCTTTCAATTCCCTGGTTTGACCTAATAGAGGATCAAAGATCTCCCTGTTCCTTAAAGCATGCAAGCTACCACAAGATAACCAGGACTGTCATTGGTTAAAGTGTTTATCTAAGATATCCCTGTTCCTTAAAGCATGTAAGCTACCACAAGATAACCAGGACTGTCATTGGTTAAAGTGTTTATTTAAGATCTCCCTGTTCCTTAAAGCATGCAAGCTACCACAAGATAACCAGAACTGTCATTGGTTAAAGTGTTTATTTAAGATCTCCCTGTTCCTTAAAGCATGCAATCTACCACAAGATAACCAGGACTGTCATTGGTTAAAGTGTTTATCTAAGATCTCCCTGTTCCTTAAAGCATGCAAGCTACCACAAGATAACCAGGACTGTCATTGGTTAAAGTGTTTATCTAAGATCTCCCTGTTCCTTAAAGCATGCAAGCTACCACAAGATAACCAGGACTGTCATTGGTTAAAGTGTTTATTTAAGATCTCCCTGTTCCTTAAAGCATGCAAGCTACCACAAGATAACCAGGACTGTCATTGGTTAAAGTGTTTATCTAAGATCTAGTAGAGAAGAATGTATGGAAGTACTAGATTTTGTAACCTCATTTTGATTACATGTAAAAAAAACATTGTTGGGTAATTTATCAGCTGGAACAAACACAAAAAGCTTTCCAAGAGTAATTAAATTGTTTTTTAGAATTGAAATTTGTTTTAGTAAATCATTTTATAAAAATTTACATTCAAAATGTTTGTGTGAAATAAAAAAAATAATTGCCAAAAAATTTGTAAGGGTTCTGTGGAACCCAGGGTCTTGCCTACTTTTGCTGTTAGTCGCAGGCTCAACAAAAATGGGGAAAAAATTATTTAAAATTTTCCTCTAGACACTATCTTTTGATTGTAAGAAGTTCTGTTCAAGTTTGGTAAAAATCCAAGAAGGTTTATGAATCTAATTAATGTTTTAAAATCTTTAACTGCAGACTGTACGTAATGTTAACTGGAATAAAACTAAGTCCATTTATAAGTTATATACGGAAAAACAGGAAATAAATTTTTACAAAATTTCCTTTTAGATACTAGCTTTTGATCAAAACAATCTTCTGTCCAAGTTTGGTACAAATTCCAGGATAGTTTAAGAAAGTTATTAAAATTTTGAAAGCTTTAACCACAGAGTGAGTGTAATGTTAACTGGCAGAAAAACTAAGTCCATATATGAGTAAAATACGGATAAACAGGATTTTTTTTTTTAACAAAATTTACTTTTGAATACTATCTTATGATCACAAACAAGCTTCTGTCCAAGTGTGGTACAAATCCAGGATAGTTAAAGAAAGTTATTAAAATTTGAAGAACTTTAACCACAGAGTGAATGTTATGTAAAGTGGCAGAAAAACTAAGTCCATATATGAGTAAAATACGGATAAACAGGATTTTTTTGTCGAGCCTTCGACTTTAGTCGAAAAAGCGAGACATAGCGATCCTACATTCCGTCGGCGTCGTCGTCGTTGTCATCGGCGGCGTCAACAAATATTCACTCTGTGGTTCAAGTTTTTGAAATTTTAATAACTTTCTTAAACTATCCTGGATTTCTACCAAACTTGGACAGAAGCTTGTTTATGATCATAAGATAGTATCCAGAAGTAAATTTTGTAAAAATAAAATTCCATTTTTTCCTTATTTTACTTTTAAATGGACTTAGATTTTCTGCCAGGAAACAATACATTCACTCTGTGGTTAAAGTTTTTAAAATTTTAATAACTTTCTTATACTATTTTGGATTTGTACCAAACTTGGACAGAAGCTTGTTTATGATCAAAAGCTAGTATCTAGAAGGAAATTTTGTAAAAAAATAAATCCATTTTTTCAGTATTTTACTTTTAAATGGACTTAGATTTTCTGCCAGGAAACAACACATTCACTCTGTGGTTAAAGTTTTTAAAATTTTAATAACTTTCTTATGCTATTTTGGATTTGTACCAAACTTGGACAGAAGCTTGTTTATGGTCAAATGCTAGTATCTAGAAGGAAATTTTTTTTCTTCTTCCAGTTAACATTACATTCAGTCTGCAGTTAAAGTTTTTAAACATTTATTAGATTCATAAACTATCCTGGATTTTTACCAAACTTGGACAGAAGCTTCTTACAATCAAAAGATAGTATCAAGAGGACTATTTTTATTGATTTACTTCCTCATTTTTGTTGAGCCTGCGATTAACAGAAAAAGTAGGCGAGACACTGGGTTCCGCGGAACCCTTACGAATTTTTTTTTTACAAAATTTACTTCTGGATACTATCCTCTGATCATAAACAAGCTGCAGATGCCAACGGAATGTAGGATCGCTATGTCTCGCTTTTGCGACAAAAGTCGCAGGCTCGACAAAAACCATAAAAGTAGTAAAGAAATTAATTTGCATTTAGGGGCAATAACTCCCATTAAGTCAAATTATCTTTTTGGCTTTGAGTTTTTCTGATGAAAGTAAATACAGAAAAGTGCTTCTGACGCATGAAATTTATAAAGTGTTGTTTTCATTTTTTAATACAAAAAATATATCAAATCGAAACATTACAATCATGATCATGTATGCACTTGTCTGTTTCATGGAGGTTTTGGCCTTTTTCTTGATGTGGAATCTTCTTGTTCAGAGGAGAACTGTAAAAGAAAATATACCCATATAAATAAAATATCCCCTTAATGCAAATGAGGCAGTAAACCAACAAAATAAATTAACTCAAATGGACATCAACAATATTATTCAACATGGTAGAAGACCTACTAATGCTTATCCTGTCTGAGGAACAGACCTAACTACTAAAATTTAAGGACCAAATTCCAATAAATCATGAACTTTCAATCATTCTATACACCAAATAGAATCTGACCTTTCTACGAAATTAGTCTTGAACAATATTCCAATAAAATGAGGGCTAGCAAAGATGAATAAGTTGCTTACCGGTATATAATCTGAGAAATGGACCAAACCATTAAAAAATTTCGTCAGTGATGTTGAAATGCATCAGTCCTGTCAGTTCTGATTGGCAAATTATGACAAAAACCACAAAAAATCAGGAACTACAGAAAATGATATGTAAGCCACAAGGACTGATAAACTTAATATAGATACAACTCTGTAACATTTACCGATAAACCATGAAACTTAGGTTAAGGTCAGATGAACACCTGCTAGAAAGAAATCATTCAACACACCAAATATATTTGATCTATTCCTTATAGTATCTTGGAAGCAGACCTAGCCACAGAAACTTCAGATGAACCCTGCCAGACGGACATGTACATCTTGCACCAAATATAGTTGACTTATTGCTTAAAGTACATGTATATGAGAAACACACCTAACCACTAAAATTTAATAATTAGGGTCTTTTATAGCTTGCTATACAGACAAGGTTTTGCTTATTGTTTAAGGCTGTGTGGTGACCTATAATTGCTTACATCTACTTCATTTGGTCCCTGTTAGATAATGGTCTCATTTGAAATCAAACCAAATCTTCTTATTTTTATATCAATATAAAAATAAAGAGATGTGGTATGATTTCCAATGAGACAATTGTCCACCACAGTTCAAACGAAGTGGATGTAAGCAATTATAAGCAAGGGTATAGCCTTCAACAATGAAAAAACTCATACAGTATAGTCGGCTATAAAAAGGCCCTGGCATGAAAAATTTCAGATGAACCCTGCAAGACAAACATGTACACCTAATATAGTTGACCTTTTGCCTTACCACAGTATCTGAGAAATGGAACATTTGACTTAAAACTTAATGTTGACCAATAAACAATGAAAACGAGGTTAATGTAAAAATAAGGAGGTGTTGAGACAACTCTCCACCAGAGACCAAATGAAGTAGAAATGACCAACTATAGGTCACCATATGGCCTTCAACAATGAGCAAAATCCATACCGCATAGCAAGCTATTAAAGGCCCAGAAATGACAAATGTAAATTAATTCAAAAGAGAAAACTAACTACCATAAAACAAATATGATATACAGCAACAAACTACAACCACTGACTTACAGGCTTACTTGGGACAGGCACATACATAATGTGGCAGGGTTAAATTTGTTAGCAGGTCCCCAACCCTCCCCTAACCTGGGACAGTGGTGCACATCACAACACAAGAACAAACTAAAAACACTAAATGAAAAACAAATATGATAAACAACAACCACCGAATTACAGGCACCTGACTTTGGACAAGCACATATATAATGAGGCAAAATTAAACATGTGTGTGGGCACCCAACCCTCCCCTAACATAAGACAGTGGTGTAAGAGAACAACATGAGAAAACATTATAACCTTATATACATTGAGGTCAGATAAACCCTGTCAGACGGACATGTGCACCTTGCAAGTATTCCATACACCAAATATATTTGACCTACTGCTTAAAAGTTAGTGAGAAACTTACCTAACACAAAAAACTTAATGTTGACTAATGAACCAAGAAAATGAGATATTTTAGTCTGGAAAAACAAAATTAATTAATTTAATAGTTGACTTTGAATTAGCTTAAGTAAATGTGAGTCCTCTTAGATCTGATCTTACTGCCCGTTTACGGGAGGTATTATGGTATACCGGTGTCCATATGTCACTCCATCCATCGTCAACATGTCGGACAATAACTCAAAAATGCTTTAACCAATTTGCATAAAACTTGGTGCATTGTTTATATCTATTGATGTGAGCTCCCTTTTGATTTTTATAAATTTTAGTTTTTACGTTTTCGAGTTATGGAGTTTTATTCATTAAAAAAGGGTGATTTTCAAGTTTTTGGACAATAACTCAAAAATACTTTGAGCAGTTTTCATGGAACTTTGGTGAATTGTTTATATCTTAAGCTCACATATTGATTGTAATAAATTTTAGATTTTACGTTTCCGATTTTATTCATAAAAAAGAGGGGATTTTCCAGATTTCGGACAATAACTCAAAAATGCTTTGAGCAGTTTTCATGAAACTTTAATGAATTGTTTATATCTATTGATGTAAGCTCCCTTTTGATTTTTATAAATTTTAAATTTTAAGTTTCCTAGTTGTGGGATTTTATTCATAAAAAAGTTCTTAGAGCAGTTTTCACGAAACTTTGGTGACTGGTTTATATCTATTAAAATAATATGGGAATTTTTTCTCTGATGGAGAGTTGTCTCATTGGTAATCATACCACATCTTCTTATTTCTATATTTTATCATTATCCCTGGTACTTTCAAACAAAAAAATTATCATACCATGGATACCCTTTTCCTTATTTGTTTGACAGTATGTTCTACAGCTTTTTCTGTGCATGATTTTTCTTTCTTCTTGAATTCCTCTGGAACTAATGCAGGTCCCTGTGTACTTCCTAAAACTACTGCATTTTTCCTCAATTCCATTTCCAGATGATCCCTGTCTGATGCTTTTATTTCTCCATGTTCTGATTTTGCCTTCAATAAATTCAATGTCTGTCGAGGTATAAATTTAGGCATTGCACCACACTTCTTAAAATCCTTGATAATAATTTTCTCTTGTTTTACTCCAGTTTTATCAAAGATTTTATTATACTTTGGATGTGATAAGTTTCCCTGAGAAGGCTGTTTGTTTGAATAAGAAGGATTTTGTTTAATGGCATCACCTTTGAGATCATCGTCGTGTGTTTGAGTTTTCATTTCTTTAGCAACAACATTTTGGGGAATTCTTCCGTCATAATCTGGAGGGAATGGTGCATTAGCAGTCGGAACTCTAGCAAAATCAAATGTTGATTTATTTTGGTTTATTTTTGAATAATTCGGAAAAGACTCTCGTACTGGAGGTGGTGGGATCATCAGAGCTTGTTGACAACATGGTGGAGGCTCTATCACTGGTGGTGGTGGGATCACCAGAGTTTGCTGAGAATATGTTTGATGAAGATTGTAATTTTTCTGAGTAGAAATTAAATGATTTCCATATGAATAAGGTTGACTATTTTGATGTGTTGAATAATTTGTGTTGTTGCCATGGTCACTAGAAAAATTTGTCATATGTGGCATTTTGTTACTAATGCTATCCTGAGTGCTTTCTGTTGACACATGATTTTTGTGAAAGCTGTGGTTGTTTTGAAAACTTGGAAAAGCTGGAATTCTACTTTCAATCCTCTCTGAAACTTTATGTGCTTGTTTACTATCATTCTCAATGTGACCTTCAAATGTCTTCCCTCTTCTAGATTGATCTTTACCTATGAAATGAATAAGAAAGACTACCAATATAATTATCTAAGTAACTGCATTCATAGTAACTTTTTAAATTTGGCAAACAAACAAACTTGATACCTTAGATTAACTGTACAGATTAACAAATAACACTAACTTTCAATATTTATGTTATTTAACTCTAAAAAAACCAACTTGACCTGTTCTGTGTGAGCCAAGGCTCCGTGTTGAAGACCGTACTGTGACCTATAATGGTTTACTTTTATAAATTTTGACTTGGATAGAGAGTAACGTCTCATTGGCACTCATACCACATCTTCTTATATCTATTGTAAATGCTTAATTAAAGTCAGAAAATTTTAAGAAACTATTAATAATAATGGCCTTGACCTTTCACAGTTACATCAATGTTTAGAGTCCTTTCATTTAATAAATAATTCAAGAGACCACAGCCTCTCACAGTATAATAAAGGTTAGCGAACACATAAAACTAAATGTGACTGACAATACAATTCTTACCCAGAATTCTTAGTCTCGCAGCAATTCCTTTGCGTCTATCCTGCAACTTTTCTCTTGTTTCTTCCACACTTTCATATTCAGGAGCATAAGTAACATGGAGTACACCTCCATAAAATGACCAGTTATCTAACTTCTTCTTGGCATGTCTGAAACCCAAAATATACATAAAGTCAATTTGTTTATAAAAAAAAGTAGTTATCAAACTGTTAACAAAGGTTAACAAATGGAGATATGGGTAAAACAAGTAATGAGACAAAGACTGATGTCATCTTACAATGATGGAGACACACCCAGAGAGTATAGCGGGTAAAACAATAAATGAGACAAAGACTGATGTCATCTTACAATGATGGAGACACACCCAGAGAGTATAGCGGGTAAAACAATCAATGAGACAAAGACTGATGTCATCTTACAATGATGGACACACACCCAGAGAGTATGGCGGGTAAAACAATAAATGAGACAAAGACTGATGTCATCTTACAATGATGGACACACACCCAGAGAGTATAGCGGGTAAAACAATTAATGAGACAAAGACTGATATCATCTTACAATGATGGAGACACACCAAGAGAGTAAAGCGGGTAAAACAATAAATGAGACAAAGACTGATGTCATCTTACAATGATGGACACACACCCAGAGAGTATAGCGGGTAAAACAATAAATGAGACAAAGACTGATGTCATCTTACAATGATGGACACACACCCAGAGAGTATAGCGGGTAAAACAATCAATGAGACAAAGACTGATGTCATCTTACAATGATGGACACACACCCAGAGAGTATGGCGGGTAAAACAATAAATGAGACAAAGACTGATGTCATCTTACAATGATGGACACACACCCAGAGAGTATAGCGGGTAAAACAATTAATGAGACAAAGACTGATGTCATCTTACAATGATGGACACACACCCAGAGAGTATGGCGGGTAAAACAATTAATGAGACAAAGACTGATGTCATCTTACAATGATGGAGACACACCCAGAGAGTATGGCGGGTAAAACAATAAATGAGACAAAGACTGATGTCATCTTACAATGATGGACACACACCCAGAGAGTATAGCGGGTAAAACAATAAATGAGACAAAGACTGATGTCATCTTACAATGATGGAGACACACCCAGAGAGTATGGCGGGTAAAACAATAAATGAGACAAAGACTGATGTCATCTTACAATGATGGACACACACCCAGAGAGTATAGCGGGTAAAACAATAAATGAGACAAAGACTGATGTCATCTTACAATGATGGACACACACCCAGAGAGTATGGCGGGTAAAACAATAAATGAGACAAAGACTGATGTCATCTTACAATGATGGAGACACACCCAGAGAGTATAGCGCCGGGTAAAACAATCAATGAGACAAAGACTGATGTCATCTTACAATGATGGACACACACCCAGAGAGTATGGCGGGTAAAACAATCAATGAGACAAAGACTGATGTCATCTTACAATGATGGACACACACCCAGAGAGTATGGCGGGTAAAACAATAAATGAGACAAAGACTGATGTCATCTTACAATGATGGACACACACCCAGAGAGTATGGCGGGTAAAACAATAAATGAGACAAAGACTGATGTCATCTTACAATGATGGACACACACCCAGAGAGTATAGCGGGTAAAACAATAAATGAGACAAAGACTGATGTCATCTTACAATGATGGACACACACCCAGAGAGTATAGCGGGTAAAACAATCAATGAGACAAAGACTGATGTCATCTTACAATGATGGAGACACACCCAGAGAGTATAGCGCCGGGTAAAACAATCAATGAGACAAAGACTGATGTCATCTTACAATGATGGACACACACCCAGAGAGTATGGCGGGTAAAACAATCAATGAGACAAAGACTGATGTCATCTTACAATGATGGACACACACCCAGAGAGTATGGCGGGTAAAACAATAAATGAGACAAAGACTGATGTCATCTTACAATGATGGACACACACCCAGAGAGTATGGCGGGTAAAACAATAAATGAGACAAAGACTGATGTCATCTTACAATGATGGAGACACACCCAGAGAGTATAGCGGGTAAAACAATAAATGAGACAAAGACTGATGTCATCTTACAATGATGGAGACACACCCAGAGAGTATGGCGGGTAAAACAATCAATGAGACAAAGACTGATGTCATCTTACAATGATGGACACACACCCAGAGAGTATGGCGGGTAAAACAATAAATGAGACAAAGACTGATGTCATCTTACAATGATGGACACACACCCAGAGAGTATAGCGGGTAAAACAATAAATGAGACAAAGACTGATGTCATCTTACAATGATGGACACACACCCAGAGAGTATAGCGCCGGGTAAAACAATCAATGAGACAAAGACTGATGTCATCTTACAATGATGGAGACACACCCAGAGAGTATAGCGGGTAAAACAATAAATGAGACAAAGACTGATGTCATCTTACAATGATGGAGACACACCCAGAGAGTATAGCGGGTAAAACAATAAATGAGACAAAGACTGATGTCATCTTACAATGATGGAGACACACCCAGAGAGTATGGCGGGTAAAACAATCAATGAGACAAAGACTGATGTCATCTTACAATGATGGACACACACCCAGAGAGTATGGCGGGTAAAACAATAAATGAGACAAAGACTGATGTCATCTTACAATGATGGACACACACCCAGAGAGTATAGCGGGTAAAACAATAAATGAGACAAAGACTGATGTCATCTTACAATGATGGACACACACCCAGAGAGTATAGCGCCGGGTAAAACAATCAATGAGACAAAGACTGATGTCATCTTACAATGATGGAGACACACCCAGAGAGTATAGCGGGTAAAACAATAAATGAGACAAAGACTGATGTCATCTTACAATGATGGAGACACACCCAGAGAGTATAGCGCCGGGTAAAACAATCAATGAGACAAAGACTGATGTCATCTTACAATGATGGAGACACACCCAGAGAGTATAGCGCCGGGTAAAACAATCAATGAGACAAAGACTGATGTCATCTTACAATGATGGACACACACCCAGAGAGTATAGCGGGTAAAACAATCAATGAGACAAAGACTGATGTCATCTTACAATGATGGAGACACACCCAGAGAGTATAGCGCCGGGTAAAACAATCAATGAGACAAAGACTGATGTCATCTTACAATGATGGAGACACACCCAGAGAGTATGGCGGGTAAAACAATAAATGAGACAAAGACTGATGTCATCTTACAATGATGGAGACACACCCAGAGAGTATAGCGGGTAAAACAATCAATGAGACAAAGACTGATGTCATCTTACAATGATGGAGACACACCCAGAGAGTATAGCGCCGGGTAAAACAATCAATGAGACAAAGACTGATGTCATCTTACAATGATGGAGACACACCCAGAGAGTATGGCGGGTAAAACAATCAATGAGACAAAGACTGATGTCATCTTACAATGATGGAGACACACCCAGAGAGTATGGCGGGTAAAACAATAAATGAGACAAAGACTGATGTCATCTTACAATGATGGACACACACCCAGAGAGTATGGCGGGTAAAACAATAAATGAGACAAAGACTGATGTCATCTTACAATGATGGACACACACCCAGAGAGTATAGCGGGTAAAACAATAAATGAGACAAAGACTGATGTCATCTTACAATGATGGACACACACCCAGAGAGTATAGCGGGTAAAACAATCAATGAGACAAAGACTGATGTCATCTTACAATGATGGACACACACCCAGAGAGTATGGCGGGTAAAACAATCAATGAGACAAAGACTGATGTCATCTTACAATGATGGAGACACACCCAGAGAGTATGGCGGGTAAAACAATAAATGAGACAAAGACTGATGTCATCTTACAATGATGGACACACACCCAGAGAGTATAGCGGGTAAAACAATAAATGAGACAAAGACTGATGTCATCTTACAATGATGGACACACACCCAGAGAGTATAGCGGGTAAAACAATCAATGAGACAAAGACTGATGTCATCTTACAATGATGGAGACACACCCAGAGAGTATGGCGGGTAAAACAATAAATGAGACAAAGACTGATGTCATCTTACAATGATGGAGACACACCCAGAGAGTATAGCGCCGGGTAAAACAATAAATGAGACAAAGACTGATGTCATCTTACAATGATGGACACACACCCAGAGAGTATGGCGGGTAAAATAATCAATGAGACAAAGACTGATGTCATCTTACAATGATGGAGACACACCCAGAGAGTATGGCGGGTAAAACAATCAATGAGACAAAGACTGATGTCATCTTACAATGATGGACACACACCCAGAGAGTATGGCGGGTAAAACAATAAATGAGACAAAGACTGATGTCATCTTTCAATGATGGACACACACCCAGAGAGTATGGCGGGTAAAACAATCAATGAGACAAAGACTGATGTCATCTTACAATGATGGACACACACCCAGAGAGTATAGCGGGTAAAACAATAAATGAGACAAAGACTGATGTCATCTTACAATGATGGACACACACCCAGAGAGTATGGCGGGTAAAACAATTAATGAGACAAAGACTGATGTCATCTTACAATGATGGACACACACCCAGAGAGTATAGCGGGTAAAACAATCAATGAGACAAAGACTGATGTCATCTTTCAATGATGGACACACACCCAGAGAGTATAGCGGGTAAAACAATCAATGAGACAATGACTGATGTCATCTTACAATGATGGACACACACCCAGAGAGTATGGCAAGTTGTGCATGAATTCAATAAAGACATCCAAACATCTATAGATCTTTACAATGATGGACACACACCAAGAGAGTATGGCAAGTTGTGCATGAATTCAATAAAGACATCCAAACATCTATAGATCTTTACAATGATGGACACACACCAAGAGAGTATGGCAAGTTGTGCATGAATTCAATAAAGACATCCAAACATCTATAGATCTTTACAATGATGGACACACACCAAGAGAGTATGGCAAGTTGTGCATGAATTCAATAAAGACATCCAAACATCTATAGATCTTTACAATGATGGACACACACCAAGAGAGTATGGCAAGTTGTGCATGAATTCAATAAAGACATCCAAACATCTATAGATCTTTACAATGATGGACACACACCAAGAGAGTATGGCAAGTTGTGCATGAATTCAATAAAGACATCCAAACATCTATAGATCTTTACAATGATGGACACACACCAAGAGAGTATGGCAAGTTGTGCATGAATTCAATAAAAACATCCAAACATCTAACATATACATCATATAGATCTTTACAATGATGGACACACACCCAGAGAGTATGGCAAGTTGTCCATGAAGTCAATAAAGACATCCAGACATCTATCATATACATCATATAGATCTTTACAATGATGGAGACACACCAAGAGAGTATGGCAAGTTGTCCATGAAGTCAATAAAGACATCCAGACATCTATCATATACATCATATAGATCTTTACAATGATGGACACACACCCAGAGAGTATGGCAAGTTGTGCATGAATTCAATAAAGACATCCAAACATCTATAGATCTTTACAATGATGGACACACACCAAGAGAGTATGGCAAGTTGTGCATGAATTCAATAAAGACATCCAAACATCTATAGATCTTTACAATGATGGACACACACCAAGATTGTATGGCAAGTTGTGCATGAATTCAATAAAGACATCCAAACATCTATAGATCTTTACAATGATGGACACACACCAAGAGAGTATGGCAAGTTGTGCATGAATTCAATAAAGACATCCAAACATCTATAGATCTTTACAATGATGGACACACACCAAGAGAGTATGGCAAGTTGTGCATGAATTCAATAAAGACATCCAAACATCTAACATATACATCATATAGATCTTTACAATGATGGACACACACCCAGAGAGTATGGCAAGTTGTCCATGAAGTCAATAAAGACATCCAGACATCTATCATATACATCATATAGATCTTTACAATGATGGAGACACACCAAGAGAGTATGGCAAGTTGTCCATGAAGTCAATAAAGACATCCAGACATCTATCATATACATCATATAGATCTTTACAATGATGGAGACACACCAAGAGAGTATGGCAAGTTGTCCATGAAGTCAATAAAGACATCCAGACATCTATCATATACATCATATAGATCTTTACAATGATGGAGACACACCCAGAGAGTATGGCAAGTTGTGCATGAAGTCAATAAAGACAACCAGACATCTAACATATACGTCATATAGATCTTTACAATGATGGACACACACCAAGAGAGTATGGCAAAATGTGCATGAATTCAATAAAGACATCCAAACATCTAACATATACATCATATAGATCTTTACAATGATGGACACACACCCAGAGAGTATGGCAAGTTGTGTATGAAGTCAATAAAGACAACCAGACATCTAACATATACATCACATAGATCTTTACAATGATTTTGTTTCTCTTGAACACTTTTCCTTGTATGATTTACTATTAGGTGGTTTTGCTCATTGTTGAATGATGTATGATGACCACATAGTTGTCCACATCTTTGTCTTTTGGTCTTGGTGAATATTTGTCTCATTAAAATCTTACCACACCTCCTTATTTTTATATAATTGTACATTTTATATACAGCCCTATAAATATTTATTTATTTTCAGTCAACTACCTTTACATGTATATAATTCTACAGTCAAGAGAGCAATGCAATAATCATTATACTTCAACAAATATTTGTCAAGCTAGTCCTCTGGTAAGTTCAACCAGTATATCACAAGACTAGCCCTTATGTAAAAGGGAGATAATGATGTCTAAACATGCTAAATAATCTAAAACTGACCCTTTTATAATAATGATTGGATCGAAATATGATGGTAATTTTTCATGGGTAGCTTTCTCAATTGTATTAAAACACTGGATTCTTAATTTAGTATTGTTCTTCTATAATATGTTTTAAATAACCTTGCTGACTGTATTCTTTTGTACTTTACCAAAACTACATCAGTAAATTTGTCAACAGTTGGAAATTCATCCAATAATCGATACTCTTCAACAGCACCATGAACTGCACAAAGCTTAATTAATTCTTGTGTAGTACCCAAAGCTGGTACATCCTGAAACATCAAGTACTGTGACTCTTGGTTTACTGTATATACCTATAAAATAATAATAATACCATCTTTTTATTTATCGTTTGCATAATATCCAATAAATTTGTTTGTTTTACACTCATGCACCTAATATTATTATATACAATGTGCAAATGTTTATACTCATATTGTATTATGGAGAAGACTTCACAAGTATGATTTAGTTGTGTCTCATCCATTTTGCTTAGATAAAGCAAATAAAATATGTTTAAACAAACCTACAAAATATACATTCTAAAAGTGTTAATGAAATTATCATGACAGGGTTTAAGGTATAAAACCACTAATTCATAGCCCTATTGCTTTCTATGTTAAATTCTACAATTTCAAGCATTAATGGCTACTTTGTCTTAAGTTCAAATAAAGTAGCAGTTATTTCATGTCAAAACTATACCTTATCCTGACTTGTGCTGAAAAATTCAACATACCTATAATTGCATATTAGAGCGAACTGGTTCCCGGAAGTTTGATAGTACAAAAACAAGTACTTCTGATCTGAACAACAGGGTAAATGTGCCCTCCTATTAAAATTGTATATACTTCTTTATTATTCAAAAGAAACTTTCAACAAGGGTTCTACAGTGATCCCAAGTCCCCAAGCTTTCATTTGATACCAAAACTACCCAAATATTCCACCTATTGACAAAGATACAGCTATGCGTAGGAACTATTTTGTTTAAAATATGTACTACTTTCTTGTATGTTCTTTCCGACCGGGCCTGAATTAGTGGTTCTATACCTTAAAGGGACATGTACATGCTAAAAAAATTAAAGAATATTCTTCAAACCATAGTTTCCATTCCTTGTGTTAAGTAAAGGTGTATAGGTATAAAATATTTTTACAGAGACAAGTGCCTTTGAAAAAACTTTTATAGGACAAAATAACATGAAACCATATATGCATACTTTTTTCAAACTATTTTGACGCACATTTGGTAACACTATTACTTGCTTTTAAAATAGTAATTGTTAAATTAACAAATTGCATTTACGTACTGGTTATGTAAATTATTGATTTTATTGTTTTTGATAATTTTCAAAATGAGTAGTAAATTTTTTATACCAAAATTCATCATGTTTATTGAATACATTACAAATTTGCAACTTAATTTTTCATTCATATAGTGTTTCTTTTCAACTAGCTATTGTTAAATAAGTTTTAAGATAAAAATTTGTACTGGGCTTAAACCATAGATCCAACTGGCCTTTTTAAAGCTGTCTATATAGTAAGGTAATGACACTATCTACTCAAATACTCTTGTATATAGATAGACTTGTCTGTTATCTACTCTAAGTCTCTTATATATAATGGAATTCTATGCGACTGTCATATAAGTGAGAGGTTTAGCTAGCTATAAAACCAGGTTTAATCCACCATTTTCTACATAAGGAAATGCCTGTACCAAGTCAGGAATACGACAGTTGTTTTCCATTCATTAGATGTGTTTGAGCTTTTGATTTTGCCATTTTATAAAGGACTTTCCCTTTTGAATTTCCCTTGGAGTTCAGTATTTTTATTATTTTACTTATTTTTTTATATATTGATTTGTCTCTTATATATTGTCTTGTCTGTTATAAATATGAAAAAGAAATAACATTCTTCTGTATTCCATTTTGATGCATCTATACATATTATTTTACTTTATACTTAGAATGGCAATTTGAATCCCACTTTACAAACTTGTTGTTATCTACCTTAACATGATTTTTTATCTTATAAACTATATATTTATACCGGTATATGAAAACTTAATAGTTTTAAGGGATCACCTGAACTTGGCGGTCACAATACTGGTATACAATACCGGAATAAAATTTTATTCCACTATTGTATTCATGTATTGTTGTTTTTTTATTTTGTATAGTGTATAAATCATTAAGATATTGAGATATGTGCTGACATGACTTTTTGACATATATAAGTCAGATATAAATAAACAAAGTTGAATAAAAAATATACAGTTTATTTCAAATGATAAAAACATTCATAATATTATATTTTTAAAAAAGTTATGTTTGTAGTTTGCACTATTGTATTCATTGTCTTTTGAAAAAGTAGGTAACACTAATACAAATATTATTTAACTAAATTATACATTAAAATGGTCAATTGCCATTAATATCAATTTTAGTTCTTCTATGGTTTTTGTTCCCATCTGTCCACCTTGTTCCTTCAGAAGGTTAAGTGTATCTGTATATTCCCCAATCTTGTTATGAAGGGTCTTCTTGTCCTGTTTCGTGATGTATTTCAGTAACTGCTGGATTGAAATTGCTGTTGCTGCAGCTGGATCATCTGATACTGTAAAATTGAGAATGGAAATGGGGAATGTGTCAAAGAGACAACAACCCAACCAAAGAGCATAAAACAGCCGATGGCCACCAATGGGTCTTCAATACAGCGAGAAAATTCCACACACGGAGGCGGGCTTCAGCTGGCCCCTAAACAAAAATGTGTACTAGTTCAATGAAAATGGACGTCACACTAAACTCCAAAACATATAAATGAACTAAAATTAAAAAACATACAAGACTAACAAAGGCCAGAGGCTCCCGCAAAAATGCGGCAGTATTAGACATGTTTTGTGAGATCTCAACACTCCCCTATACCTCTAGCCAATGTAGAATAAACAAACACACAGCAATACGCACAGTAAAACTCAGTTTAAAAGAAGTTCGATGTCAGAATAGGTAACAAAAGAAACTAAGCAAAATGACAATGATACATAAATTAACAAAGGACTACTAGCAGTTACTGACATGCCTGCTCCAGACCTCAATTAAACTGATTGACAGATTATGTCTTCATCATATCAAAATCAAGCACAATCCCTCCTGTTAGGTTTTTTTTTAGTATCATATCATCATAAAATATATGAGAAGAACATAACCCATATCATGCCAACAACTGGTTTTAGAATAAATGTGTTTATTTCCGATGCAAAGACCGTATGAGTGAATCAATATTAATACCAAAATATGCCATCTTTAATGACAACAGTATTGTAACTACATTTGTATATCCCTTCTGAATAAGTCTGTTTGACGGTTTGGTTAGCTTTTGAGGTGAATGTTGACATTTTTGTGCTTTGTATAGAATATTACCATAAAAGATTGGATGAGAAATGCCTGAACGTATAAGATGTCGGCATGTTGATTTATATTTACGAATAATGTCCTTGTACCGATGATAAAATTTAGTAAATGTTTTGACTAGTTTGTGATATCGAAAACCCTGATGTAATAATTTTTCAGTAATACAGAGGTTTCTTTCGTTAAAATCAAATACGTTGTTACATACACAAGCGAATCAAACAAGTTGAGATTAAACACCACAAGATGGTGACAAGGGAACGTCACCATCTAAAAATGGATAATTGTGTCTGTCTGCTCTTCATTGTTTTTCTCCTTTGCTAGTCTCTTTCTATAAGATCTAGAGTATTCTGTTTCATCAGACTTTTTTTTTTTCTTTTCATCATGTTCATGGAATGACCTGATGTGGCATTTGAAGTTACCTGTACTTGAACAGCTCTTTTGACATCATATGATGGTGAATGATGTCGCCATAATTAACAAGCTACAATGTATATCTTTAGCTTTAGTTGTGCTCTTTATCTTTCTAGTTTCAATATCTTAGACAAATTGCTTTGCCCAAGTTAGGGGCATATTCTTCTCTTGACAGGTCTAGGTTTATACTAGTCCTACAGTATTTCTATAAACCTTGCTGATACACAATAACCAAGCTTTATCTATGAACAAAATCACAATTTTTCTCTCAAAAAACACAATTATCGATATATAACATAATCAAATAATACTGTTGCTAATAACAATAACTGCCTTAAACTGGTATACACTCATATTCCAGTATTGTAGTATTTTTGAGGGGAAAAACACAAGTTCAGGTGATCCGTTTTAAGTTCTCCAAAGCCAAATATAGTGGATCAGAGACTCAGGTCACAGGGTTCCAACTTTTAATGCAGACATGGATAAAGAGTGTCAAACATCATGAACATGTAAAAAATAAAACACTTTTCCCTAAAGGACAAAAATAAAAACTCCTCTTTTCACACTATCTTACTTTTACAGCTTTAGGGTTTCTTCCTTCTCTATATAATGGTCGAGTTGCACACAGGTTTAGACGAATGTGGTGAGTAGGGACTGTAGGAATATTTGTTGATTTTCCATCCATGGGAGCTGACATTTTGAATTGTACTAAACATCAATATCAACGTAAAAACCCACCAATCAGGGGATCAAATTGAATAGATACATTTAACTAAAAATCAGTTTAAAACTTGCATTGTGAATAAAACTTATTCAGTCATAATACTTCATTTAAAATATTTGAAACACTGTTTCATTTAAATGATTTTTTTAAAAATCACACATTTTGATTCCATCATTGAACAATCTCGATGTTGATACATGTACAGTAAAAAAAAAGAGTCAACTTCGATTGCAGTCATGTTTTTAGTTGGACTTACAGGTGGAATTGCAACAGGAAAAAGCACAGTTTCTAAGATTTTATCAGAAGAATGTGGTTGTCTGATTTTAGATGCAGATTTAATAGCAAGAGAAGGTGATAAAAGTAAAGGAAGATATAACAAAGGGGTTTAGAATTTAAGTCAACTGAATCAGGAACATATATATTGTTAGATATACTGTTCCCAGACTGAATCAAGGGTTTTAATAACTTAATTAGTATGATACTCTTAAACTTAATCAACAAACAAATAATGTTTAACTGAATTCAGCTTGAAAGTTTCATTAGTGTATTAAATACACAATTTTGAAAAAGCTGAATGGATGGAGTAAATATGTTTATGCTAAAATAATGGAAAATAAAAAGTGGGTGTGCACCAGTATGTTTTATATTCACAGGTACTTATTTCTATCCACGGGCGTTGTCCGGGGGTTGAAACCCCCCCTTTTTTTTTGAAGATCAATGCATTTGAATGGGGACATATAGTTGGAACCCCCCCTTTTAAAAATGGCTGGATCCGCCTCTGAGTGTACATGTAAATATATAGTTAATATATTAGCATTGGTCTTATATGTCCATGCAAGATCGCCTCCATACACGGCCAAATATTGTGCTTATTCAGAAAAAAAACCAAGTGAATGTGATATGAAAATTAACCCTGATATGTATGAGACCTACATGCTGAGCTTGAAATTTAATATGTCCCTCAATCACAAGCATGACAAGTAAACAGTCTACAGGAAGACTAATGAGGGGCCTGATGGGTTATTTTCGTTCTTCATGATCGTCGCATTTTCGCTATCGTGATCCGTTTTTCAGATTTTTTTTTTTTATATTTTCGTGATCCGTGATCATGGAAATTTATTTTCTGTGAATCGTGATTGACAAAAAAATCAACTCGTGAATCGTGATGAGCCACCCCCCCCCCCCCCCCCCCCTGCCATCAGGCCCCTCACTTATGAATAAAAGGGAGGTAAATATGAGGTAAACATCAATGAGAGGGTAACAAAACATAAAAAAACAACCACAACTAGTGGGCAGCATTCTGTCTTCAACAATAGACAAGTGTATAATATGTCAAAGCTCCAAATCCTCCTGTGTCTAAAAGTTTAAATTTAACCATTGTTAACAGAAATAATGACATTTACAGCCAGTTCCCCAAATAAAGAATAACTTGAAGATATGACTTACAATAACCATTAATTAGTAATATTCATTTTGTAGACACTGATTGAACACATACTTTTTACCACTTGGAACAAATTAAAGAGCTTTAAAAAAAAATGATGAACACTGGAAAAGTTTCAGGAATCCATAATTTAATGTTTTTAAAACAAATGTTATTTATTTAGGTATATCTTTATATAGATGTAAGCAGAAATCAATTCTAAGTACTTCAGGAAGTGTGTGTGTGTGTGTGTTTTTTTCTAATATTCATATCAAATTAGATACAGTCATACTTTATCAAATGATTTGAAATTTTTCAAATAGCTTTGAAAAACCTTCAACTAATTATAATTTATTTTGAACATCCTGTCATAACTGTCTGTCATAATAAAACATTAATGAAAAAAAAGATGTTTTCAAATTTTAAAAGGTTTCTAGTAACATAAATTAATTGAACTCTAGATTAACTGCATATGCATATGTGATAAACATAAATTAATTTAAGTCTAGATTAACTACATATGTGTGAAACATTTTTTTTTAAAGATTTTGATAAAATCATTAAAAGTTGTGATAAGATCTTAAATATATATATTTATTACAGTTGTACTCCCAGGAACAAAAGCTTGGAAAATAATTCGGAAACAGTTTGGAGATGAAGTCATTCATGACAATGGTGAACTTGATCGAGAAAAATTAGGACAAATAATTTTTGCTGATGCATCTAAAAGAAGACTTCTGAACTCTATAACTCACCCAGAAATATACAAGTCTATGATATGGAAAATACTGAAAGCTTTTGTAAGAGGTATGATTTTTTAGACATTTAACCACTATTGGAATTTAGAATATGTCTCGGGTAACTTCAGGTAAAACAGATAATGGAGAGCACTTCTTGTTCTCATATATATGTCCATATAATAAGAATATAGGACACAGCTGAAAGTGTTTTGAATTTAATTAATTCTTTGTTCATCAACTTTAACCTATGCGACTGTCATACAAGTGAGAGGTTTAGCTAGCTATAAAACCAGGTTTAATCCACCATTTTCTACATAAGGAAATGCCTGTACCAAGTCACGAATATGACAGTTGTTTTCAATTCCTTTGATGTATTTGAGCTTTTGATTTTGCCATTTCATAAAGGACTTTCTGTTTTGAATTTTCCTTGGAGTTTGGCATTTTTGTTATTTAATTTTTACCCATATTAGTAAATCTAATTAATTGATATGGCTAATAAATTGTGAAAATACAGTGCTGATAAAATAATTCTTCTGAATTTAATCAGTTTAATAAAAAATAAATTATTATTTAAATCATGCAGTTTGTCTAGCGTGTCTAGTTAAGCACCTACCCTTGGTGTTCACTACAGTTCAGGCAGCTACAGTCTTTCTCAACCATAAAACTGGATGTATGGTCTTCTTCATACTCATTATTATTTCTTATATTGTAATGTAAATTTATATTACTTTGTTAAACTAAGCATTAAACATGTTATATGTTAAGCTTGGAGCATCTTGGACAATGTTGGATTTACCTAAGTTACTGATCAAAGGGAGACAACCAAAGTTTTGTATCACTTTAGTTTTGAAGAAAATTAAAATTAAAATATATTTTCTCCATATATATCTCATATGATTTTCTAAATCACTAATTGTTGTGTCACAGAGTATATTTTACAGGGTAATTTTCCCTACGTTTACTTGTAAAATAAAGTGATGTCAAAGAACCCTAGACTTGTCGTTTATGGAACCCCTGTTAAAGAAGACTATTATAGTTGTACTGTAATGTTAGAAATAATGCCCTCGATTGGCCCTTAATTGGTTTGATAAAAATATTGTATTGTAAAAATACTGTGTAAATCATCTTGAGAAGATTTAAAAATGAAATGAAATATATTTTAAAATGTTTTACCTAGCAGCTTTTGTTCTTAAATAACATTTTCCTTTGACATTTGCTGTGAAACAATATACAGCATAAATTGTTCCTTGTCTAAAAAAAAGATATTCACACAGTTAGTGCGTTTCAAGATTATAAACTCTATTAAAATTATAAAGAGTGACGAAAAGGTGCTAGATGTTAATCTAGAGGAATGTTCTATTTTCCTTTTTAGTAGATAATGGCAAGCTGTTTTACTATTTATTATAACTTCAAGATATCTAATACACTTTATAAGATATCTCATATAGTTAATAAGATATCTTATAAAGTTTATAAGATATCTTATATAGTTTATAAGATATCTTATATAGTTTATGATATCTTATATAGTTTATAAGATATCTTATATAGTTTATAATATCTTATAATGTTTATTAGATATCTTATATAGTTTATAAGATATCTTATATAGTTTATAATATCTTATATAGTTTATAAGATATCTTATATAGTTTATAAGATATCTCATATAGTTTATAAGATATCTCATATGATTTTTTTTATAAGATATCTTATCAATTATATGAGATATCTATTTTATAAAGTTTATAAGATATCTTATAAAATCTTATAAAGTTTATAAGATATCTTATAAAATCTTATAAAGTTTATAAGATATCTTATAAAATCTTATAAAGTTTATAAGATATCTTATAAAAACTAGATTATATAAGATATCTTATATATTATATGAGATAGCTTATATATATGATATGAGATATCTTGAAGTTACAATAAATAGTAAAACCGCTTGCTATAGTAGATACTTATGAGACAATGAACATTCAATGTATTTAATTTATAAGTTTATTTGGAAGTCTCGATGTCCCTTTAGTGCTCTCATACCATGAAATAAGCTTCAAGATTTTAACTATAAGACACTATTTTTCAGGAAGACAATTTGTGATACTAGATCTACCATTATTGTTTGAGACAGGGAAGTTAGTCCCATATGCTTCCTACATTGTTGTTGTATCATGGTAAGTTTTTACAAAACAAAGCTAGGATTCCTTGTCATCAAAAACAATCATAATTCATTGGTAACTTTGCAAAATAATGATGGGGATGCAAACAATGACATATTGCAATGAAAATCTTTTCTTGCACTTTTTTTCTGATGTCTGTTGGTTATTTTTCTACAATCTTGACCTTTATACATTACCCTCAATAAAAACCTTGCAAACAACTTTATTTGTAATGAAGTATAATACTAAAATCACAAATTTGAGGACATTCATCTACACTCTGAGTTTTGAAGATGAAATTGTACTGAATACCCTTTGAAATAAACTGAAAGCTGGTACTGAATACCTCAATGTTTCTACAATATATTAGCTTCCTTAATCACCCATGAAACCTTATAAATAGATATAAGAAGATGTGGTATGAGTGCCAATGAGACAACTCTCCATCCATTTCAAAATTTATAAAAGTAAACCATTATAGGTCAAAGTACGGTCTTCAACATGGAGCCTTAGCTCACACCGAACAGCAAGCTATAAAGGGCCCCAAATATTACTAGTGGTAAAACCATTCAAACGGGAAAACCAACGGTCTAATCTATATAAAAAACGAGAAACGAGAAACACTTGTGAACCACATCAACAAACGACAACTACTGAACATCAGATTCCTGACTTACGACAGGTGCAAACAATTGCAGCGGGTTTAAACGTTTTAATGGTACCAAACCTTCACCCTTTTTCTGAAACAATAGTGTAACATCACAACATAGAAAGACACACTATAAAATATCAACAGAAATGGCTTAACTCAATCAAAGGACATATTAACACCAGTGAACATACACTGAACAAATGAATTTGACCTATGATACAATGATAATACAAAATAAATAAACTAAGGGAAGAATAATAAAAGTAACCTGTTATACCGCTATGAAATGTTAAATAATTTTAGAAAAATAATATGCTAGATAAATGCTTTCCAGATTGATTGATTGGTTTGTATTTAACACCATTTTCAGCACTATTGTGCTATTTTGTGGCAGTCATCTTTTATTTGTGAAAGAAGACAGAGTGCCTGGAGAGAACCACTGACTTCGATAGGAAAACTGACAATCCTAGTCAATAAAGATTTTAATCAAGTGCACATGCCATGTGTGGGATCTGCACTCACAGCCTAGTTGACAGGCTAGTGATACAGTAGTTCAACTTCTTATACCACTTGGCCACCGAGGCCCCCTCTTGACTTTTCAGATAGTTCTTGAGTCAAACTTGCTTAATTGGAATTAAACTTACACAGATGGAAGATATAGTCAGGGGCGTAGCTAGGTTTCCAATCAACTGTAGGCACAACTTGCAGCAGGGGGTCTGGGGCTCTGGTAGGGGGTTCAGGGGGCGAAGCCCCCCGACGGAAAACGTTTTTCAGCATTTTAGTTGCAAAATTTTGTGTACAAATAATATACATGAAGAAAAGTTCGAAGAATTATAGATAATTTTACAATATCATCTCACTAGTGAATTAGCACAGTACGATCGGAATTCTTAAAAAAATATATTTTTATTTACAATATGCATTGCCCAGCGTAGATCAGCGTAACCCTTTAATTAAGCAGTACATCCTGTTTAGTATTTTCATATATATTCCTTTCTGATTGCGGATAGTTGATATATATGTTAATTGATAGCACATATAGACGATCCTTCATTAAAAGAATAGGCACGTAAACACTAAGACTACTATATATACTAATACTATCCTTTGGGCTAGACATCGACCATCCATCTTTTGATTCTTAAACCTTCACCCCGGCCACACAAACACAATCATACATAGTTGATGCCCAATGCAGAAGTTCGGTTCTATTCATACTATCGTGACAAAATTCATGAAATTCATATTTTCTTATATCCTCTACTGTAAAATCCCTAGCTGCTTAAGAATTTGAATAATTATGGTCATTACACGTAAATCTGAGAGTACTCGAAGTTAATGAAAGCTAGTTGATTGATTGATTGCTAAATTGACGTCCAGTGACAAATAGTTATGCATGTTCAAGACAAAAAGAAATTTACAATAAATACAGCAGGTATCCACTAGGGTTTATTGAATAGGGACAGCAATTTTGCCTTTCAGCGGACCACCTACGGACCCCTCAAAGAGTTGTTGCAAGTGTTATTAACGTGCAAAGAGCGTGGCTTTCTCTCTACACTAAACATAGGAGTTAACGTCCCAATTCTGACCAGACGTGACTGTGTATTTATACATCCCGCACAGCCAAGCGGACGCCCCTCTAAAGTCTTTGTCAAGGGTTTTATTGTAGATCGGATAAAGACCAAGTGGAAAAAAGCTAGTTGAAAGCCAACAACAACTAATAAAAAAATCATGTATCTAAGAATAAAATGTTAGGATTTTGAGCATGTTAAGGCTCATTCGAGTATTTGTTGGTAGAAGTGAAATGATATGAACCAAAGTTCTAGTTTTAGTTTCTATATAAGGTGGAATAAAATGTACAAACAATTCTACCTAATACTCCATTCACTAAGGATGATAGACTAGTGTACAAATTACATATGATATTTAAAGAATTTTGACGACTTCACGTACAGATAATGTTGTCATTATTTTTTTTTAATACCAAAAAAAATATTTGTGAAAAAATTATGTGTAGGCACGTGCCTAAAGTGCCTAACAGCAGCTACGCCCCTGATAGTGAAGGGGTAGAAGCATATTGATTTTATGGTCAATAGGTCAAAGTTTAAGGTCCTAGTTACAAAAAAAGAAAAGTATTGGAAAAAAAATGGTTTCCTGATGATAACTAGACTTTCCTTTCTTGTTTAAAATGCAATATATATATAGATGGGTATAAGGAGGGGGAAACCCTATCAATTTTTTGGTCAAAGGACGGGATTTAACAGCTACTAACAATCTACTGAAAATATATAGAATTATTAGGTGCTACTCTTTCTTGCTGATTACTTGAGATACACTTGTTTAATTTTAATCAAACTTATAAAGTATTCGATAGAAGGAATTTAAAGGAGAATGCCCATCAATTACATAGTCAAGGTCATATATGCTAAAATAGCTGAACATTGTATACAAATCTTCAAACTCCTGGTTTCTAGTAGAAATCATTTGGAGTTAAAAGCAACTGTCAGTTTAAAAATTTGGCTGATTAATCTGTGTGCTTTTTATTGAAATTATTTTATTTCAGCTCAGAGGAACAACAAATAGAAAGACTAATGAAGAGGAACACCTTATCTGAGAAAGAAGCTGATCAAAGAATTAGCTCTCAAATGTCATTGGCTGAGAAACGCAGACAAGCAACATACATTATTGACAATAATGCTGATATTGAATATACAAGGCAACAAGTCAAAAATATTCATCAGAAATTAAAAGAGAGCTACTTTCATTGGAAAATAAGAATTTTAATCTCTTTTGGTTTTTTGTCAGTATTTGGATTATTTAACTATATATTAAAACTGTTTTAATTGAACAAGTCAAGAATTTACATATTTTTATGATATTTATTCATAGAGAACTACTTTTTTTTTAATTTGGGGTAATTGCAATTTTAAATAAGAAAATATTAATTCCTTTGAACTGGACCAAAAGTATAGTAAATTTCCTTGTGAAAATTGATGCCTGAAATTTCTTCGGGGGAGGGGGGGGGGGGGCACTTCCTATATACAAGGTGATAGGATGTGCCGCTGGAATAGGTCACTTTTTCAAGCTTGAAAATATGTGAATAGGTCGATAAAACTATCAGAAATATATGATAAGGTCAATAAAGTTCCCATAACTTCATCGTCTGTCATCTTTCTTGGTGTTTTCCGGTTGTGTTTTTATCAACCAATTTCCTCTCTTTTGACACTTTGGTATTCCACTCTTACAGTACACACCACGAAACCCAAACAATATGGGAAAGGGTAACATTTTTACCTACGCAATATATGAAAAGGGATACATTTTTAAAATCTAAATTATATGAAAAGGGTGGGGTAACAGAACCCCCCAGCGGCACCCCTATCAATTAAGTATTGAAGTATGTGCCCCCCCCCCCTCCGAGGAAATTTTTTATAAGTATATACTTGGAGTTCATAGTAAATCATCTAAGTTAGCAGTTCACAGGGAACTTGGTGTACTGCACTATACATATTGATATTATTTGTTCAGTTATTATTTTTTTTTCTGTACAATCAAAGACAAGAATGAGTGTCATTTGTAAAGTCAAACTCTTACAGATAGCATTTAATTTTATATCCACTAGAATGGTATACAAACATGGTATTCTTCTATTGTTTTTGTTGCAAAACAGTTGAATGTTGATATTAACAAGCATTCTGAGAGTATTGCATGGCAATACATAGTCCCCTACTGGTTAAAAATTCATTATACTGGAACAAAATGCTAACTTGTTCTATAACTTATCATGGTGTAAACAAATAGAAAATATCAAGTCAATATCTTCAAGCATGACTAAAAACAGTGTGGAAAACTGAATAAATGAGAGAATTTTTTCAAGTCCAAGGACCATAACTCTGCACAAAATTATCAGACTGAAACAAAAATTTGAACTTGATCTGTAACTTGTCATGATAAAACTATATACCAATTGTCAATCAATATCTTCAAGCATGATGAAAAAAAGTGTGGAAAACCTATAATACTCTCACATTAGATATGATGTATAATACAATGTATATCTATTTTCGAATTACAATCAAATATAATTAATAGTTCATATTTTTTTCTTTCATTTGTCACAAACTAATATAGATTTGTAACTTATCTATAAAATGTCAACAACTATTAGCTACACAATGTAATGTAATGAAATGTATACTTTAATAAAAATAGATTATTATCTAATTAAAGGATTTCACTTAATAAAAAAAAAATATATATATATACATGTAGTATTCAGAAAATAAGTTTTATATACAAAATAACATATAAACCTGCCACAAAATTCCTCAAACAATTTACCAAAGAATGTCTTTTAAAAAATGAGTTATCTCCCTTTGTACAGATATATGGTTTAACATAGTACTCTAACATTAGTTATGGATTTTTTTTATGGACCATAACTCTGGACTAAATCATCAGACCGGAACAAAATTCGAACTTGATCTATAACTTGTCATTATAAAACTATATACCAAATATCAAATCAATATCTTCAAGAACGAAGAAAAAAAGTGTGGAAAGCTGAGTTGCCGGACTGACGGATGGACAGACAGACAGACAGAGTGCAAACCTAAAGTCCCCTTCGACTTCGTCAGTAGGGGACTAATAATCTCAATGTTAATGAGATTAAAGTTGTTTTAATTAAAAATTATATGCGATTTTGTAAAGATAAACTTTTACAGAATGCTACAGTAAAACAAGAGGCTCATGAGAGACTGATATCGCTCACCTGTAATTTCAGTTTCAGACATTTGACTTATTCCTAGGTCTTACTTTGCTGAACAATTTTGTCATTTACACTTTCTCTCTTTTTATTATAATATTAAAGATAATACATAACCCAAAACTGTAAAATTTCCTAAAAATTAACTATTTCTGGACAGTAACCCAACAATAAGTTGTCCTATTGGTCTGAAGATTACTTGACAGGTAGATCTAAACCTGTTTAACACTTTCACCTATGTCAGTTTTGCTCTTACTGCTTTAGTTTTTGAGATGAAAGCCAAAAACGTCATTTGACCCCTATGTTCTATTTTTAGAAACTGCTGCCATGTTTTTGAATGGATCATATCCCCGAATACAATCTATAAACTATATACCCTAAGGAACATTCAATTAAACTTTTTGAGTATTTGGCCAAGTAGTTTCAGAGGAGCAGATTTTTGAAAAAGTAAATGGACTCTCACAAAAAATGTAAAAAAAATAAACGTTTTAAGGGCAATAACTCCTCAATGGGTCAATTGACTATTTTGATCATTTGACTTATTTGTAGATCTTACTTAGCTGAACATTTATTGCCATTTATACTTTCTCTCTATTATAATATTAAAGAAAATAACCAAAAACAGTAAAATTTGATAAAAATAAAATATTTCCAACAGTAACCCACCAATTGGTTGTCGAACTTGTCTTAAAATTTCATAATAGATAGATCATGACCCATTTATCACTTTAACTCCCTTTCACTTTTGCTCTAACTGCAGTAGTTCTTGAGATATAAGCCAAAAAAAGCTTTTGTCCCCTGTTCTATTTTTAGCCATGACGACCATGTTTGTTGATGGATCAAAACTTCGGATATAATTTATAAATTAGATACCATAAGGAACATTCAGTTAAAGTTTGAAGGTATTTGGCCCTTTGGGCCCGGTGAGCTAAAATGGGTTATTTATGAATTTTTTTCAAATTTAAAGATATTTTTATAGGGGAGACTTACCTGTTCTTTAAATTCAAATGAAGAGAACATTCATTTTTCTTATGGAATGTCCAGCAATCGACCAACAATCACACATTATGTTAGATTCTGATTTAAAAATATGTGTAAATTTCAAAAATCTAGATACTGAAACAGATTTATTTGGCTTCTTTCATGTATACAAACATGACGAAATATGCAACACTTTATAATTGGCTTTGATTTATCATAGATGTTTTACAATAAGGAAAAAAAACCAGTAATAGTTAACTTTATATTGTCGTTAGCGCTAAAGTTATTAATTTATTTCTTTACTTATGTCTATTTATAATCATTATATGTAACATACCCTTTATTATGGGCAGATGGTTGAATTAATAATTTATTTGTATACATATTTGAAATTACTAACCATAGGACATTATTATTAACATTTGTTCCCAGTCACAGCTGCCTTATCAATTTTCGCTTAAATACACTCCTCACTCTTCAAGGCAGATTAACACTTTCCCCAGACAGTTGTTGGTGCTCTTGATCTATTTAATTAAACAGAAACTATGATGGTTTATGTTCAGGCAGATACCCAGTTGAAATTAAACAAAAGAAATGGAACTCTTTATTATAGAAGGTAAAAAAGGCCAAGTTGGTATATTTGAAAATTTTGTTTACATCTGTTTCTATAGGCTTTATAAGTTTAGAGGGGGTGGACAGGGGGGTACCCTTCTCCCACCTCCCACATTTAGAATCTTTTTTTCCATCCCACCGATTTTTTGTCTCCCACCTTCCCTACAATGGCTTCCATTTTTAAGATTGTAAAAATTAGGAAGCATAATGGAGAGGTGATTTTGACGAAGAAGAATCCTGACTGTGTTAGTTGTAATAAGGTGGAAAATTTAATGTGTGGTCTATTAAAAAAAACAGCAACATTGGCTGTGTTTGGATATACGCCTATGGTTACCCATAGGTACCTTCGGGTACCCATGGTTTGATATTTTATATATCAAAATATCAAACCATGGGTACCCAAAGGTATCTATTGTTAACCATAGGCTGCCTTAGGCGTATATCCGAACACAGCCTATGATGGCGTATGTTAGTAGTAATGGCTGTGTTTGGATATACGCCAGAGGTGGCCTATGGTTATCCATAGGTACCTTTGGTTTGATATTCTATATATCAAAATATCAAACCATGGGTACCCAAAGATACCTATGGGTAACCATAGGCTGCCTTAGGCGTATATCCAAACACAGCCAATAAGGTGGGAACATTTAAGGTGCACTTGACTGGTCTATTAAAGAAACAGCAGCTATGATGGTAAATGTTAGTAGTAATGAGGTTTAACATTTAAGGTGTGTTTGACTGATCTATTTAAAGAAACAGCAGCTATGATGGTTTATGTAAGAAGTAATAAGGTTTAACATTTAAGGTGTGCTTGACTGATCTATTTAGAGAAACTGCATTATGATGGTTAATGTTAGTAGTAACAAGGTGGAACATTTAAGGTGCGCGCTTGACTGATCTATTTAAAGAAACAGCACTATGATGGATAATGTTAGAATTAATAAGGTGGAACATTTAAGGTGCGCTTGACTGATCGATTTAAAGAAACAGCAACTATGATGGTTCATGTTAGTAGTAATATGGTGGAACATTTAAACCCAAAGGTATTCCAGTGATGTTTTGTCTTTTGTTACAAGTTTTTTTTTTAAAGAAATCTGGGTTAAAGACTAAAGGAGGAGTTGATTACACAAAACTTATACCATCTTTTGTAAATTTGGCTGAAAAATGACTCAAGATCACATTTCTTAAAAAAATGAGAGAACATTACTCAAACTATTGCTTATAGAAACTGACCTAGCCTTGAAAACTTATCATTGATCAATGCACCATGAAAATAAGTTCAAGGTCAGAAGAACCCTGTCAAGACAGATATAAACACATTACAATTATTCTAAACACTAAATATAGTTGACCTATTGCTTATAGTATCTGAGAAACACACCAAATCACAAACGCATAACATTGATCAATGAACCATGAAAATGAGGTCACATCCAGATAAACCATGCAATACAAACATGTCTATCTACATAATAATACAATCATTCTATGACCAAAATGGCAAATGTAGTTAACCCATTGCTTATAGTATCTGAGAGAAGGGCCAAACTACAGAAACCTTTACACTGACCAATGATCCATGAAAATTAGGTAAAGGTTAGATGGTACCTGAAAGACAGACATGTAGACCATACAATAATCTGGGTTCCTGGTTCACTGATTGCTAATGCTGACAGTATCCTATCGACGAAGTATAAGATTGGGTCAGGATGCCAGACTTACCATACAATCATTCCATACACCAAATATATTGACCTTTTGCTAATGGTATCTGAAAAACAGACCAAAACACACTGACAAATGACCAATAACCAGAAAATACTATAAAGTTTTTATAAGCAGTCGCTAAACAATGAAAACGAGGTCAAGGCCAATGGTGTTATGATAGACATAAACTTTGTACCACAAGGCATCTATTTACAAGGTATGAAACATCCAAGTCTTCTACCTTCTGAAATATAAAGCTTTATAATAGTTTATGCTGCTGACACTACCAACGGATTTGTATATCTATGTCTCGCATTATGTGACAGTGTAATGTTATTGTACTATGTAAAGTGAGTGATCTGTACGGTGTTAAGTCAACAATGGCAGATTAATGTCAGTGTTGTACGTACTGTGTAAAGTCAGAGTGACTACTGACGAGGTTTGCTTTTACATCATCTATAATTCATTCCAGTTTTTAGCAAATTACAAGTCTCCATTCAAGCATTATTCCTCAGGCAGTTTGTCATTTTCACATAGTTGAAAATGTTACAATTAGTTTTTTAGTATGAATGAATAAAAGTATCTTTGGCAGACCTTTGATCTTTTGTGTGTTGTTGAATTGCCCTCCATTTAAATTTCAAGAAGAATTAACTCCATCCACAAAATCATACTTCAGGCTTTTTCTTTATATAAAGTGTGTTTTTGAAGAAGAACTTTCAATAAAGCCTTAATATTTTATTTATTGTTAAGGAGCAACACATGATCAATATACAAGCAGTAGATTGGGTCTTATTCCTCAGTCTTTTTCTGAATAGGTGCATGAATAAAGAATAAAGATCACTGATATTGGAATACTGAATGTAGAATAAAGATCACTGATGTTGGAATACTGAATGTAGAATAAAGATCACTGATGTTGGAATACTGAATGTAGAATAAAGATCACTGATGTTGGAATACTGGAATATTTCATTTTCAAAAAGAGAGCGATAAATATCTTTGTATTCATATTTCACCAAATCGGAAGTATAAATGTAATAATTAGTTGAATTAGGAGTGTACTGAAGCAGTTACTAAAACAGAGGATGATGGCAGCTGAGAGTTTTAATAATAATCCAAATTATGACAGAATTTTAACAACATGGCGGCAAACTAAACA